CAGAGGTAATTTAACCTTTTATTGATTGTCATACCGATCCGGAACAACAAAAAACAACATAAAATGAAGCTATGTATAATAGTTTGGCCAGCATATCTTAAAATATGCAAACCAACTGCTGTTCGTTATATAAGAAGGTTTCAACTGAATATTATAAGATCCCCGTGCGTAGAACGGGTACACAGCTAGTTAGAAAATAAAGGCAACTAATCATAAATGCGTTGGGCTTGGAAGGAATATGAATATGAAGCGAATATTATCATTACGGTTAGCATCATTAATGAAACAAACAATATAATACACACCAAAAATAGAAAAAAAACAAGTACCTCACAGTACAAAACAAGGCATGTTAGAGAGATGTATACTGCGCAAATACTTGCATCTTAACCTTCACACAGGCTTCATAAAAGTGTTGAAACTGCATTAAAGCCATCAATATTCAATATACTTGGACATGACAGAAAATAATTATGCACTAAGAGAAGTGTACAAAGGCGTTAAGTTTAATAATGTGTATAGCGTGCCAAGAGACGCACCTAGCATTGTTCATGACCTTACAATTGGTTTGGGCTAGCCGCCATCTTGGATACAAAGTATGGGAACAGAACGGCGGAATTGAAACGCAAATATATTCATCTGCCCACAGACAAGAAGCCTCAATGATTGGCCATTGGAACACTCTGTATCTAATTGATAACTGAGCCGGCAATGAAAACCTGTTTGCACGCATTTCCTTTTTCGGAACGGAAATGATTCCAATGTTTTTGTGTACGACTTTCTGTCTTGCAATTTAATTTGGGTTTCGATAGAAACCTCCTAGTTAGGAATTATTTTTATTTGGTCCCAATACATGTCCTTGTGTCTGTGAGCACTACAATAGCAGTGATAAGTTGTCAGTTGCCACATTCCGCTCTAGTGGAATACGTTCCTGCATTAGATACGTTGGGCACAGGCGGGCATATATTTGAGGAATTTCTATAACTTTATTTGATATTTTTTGCAATTGATTAAAGTACCTAATAGCTTAAATTAAGAATGTTAAAATCGTGTTAAAATTGAATAATATTCAAATAAATATTAATTGCACGAATAATTTATAGGATTTGAGATCCCGAAATTACGTTTGTTTGCTTGCTTTCCAATTAACAATGATATTGGAAATCCAATCTTAAAATTACCTCCCATTCCACCTCTCTGCTTTACTACTGTAAACTGATCAGTGGACACACCATTGCGGGGGTAACGGAGCGAGTGCCGTTCTATTCTTTGCCGGGGGGGGGGGGGGGGGGTTAAACTGTCAAAAGCGTCAGATAGGTCCGAGTGCCATTACAACCTATAGTTTGTGTATTCATTGCCAGAGCAGAGTGATTCAGGAGAGGGGTAGGCCTATTAGTAGTAGGGGGTGTAGTGGGCAGGATGTAACAGATACCGGTTAAAGTTTCTTAACTGGGCTTGGGCTACCCTAATATCGATTGAAAATTAATATCGATTCGATCGGTAAACCTTCATTCAATTTGTTCATAATCAGCAAGTTTGGTTAGGTTAGGTTATAACAGTTTCATTGTTCAACATTTTTGCTAAAACAAACAAAATTAAATAAACAAAACAAAACAAACTTTGCTAAAAAAACAAATTTAAAAACAAATTTTGCTCATCCCCCCTGGCCGATCTTTCCACCCCCATACTCGCCGTACCGTGGAGGTGGAACCGGTCACTGATATCTGGCTGGCACTCGCCCCACCAAGCCTGTAAAATCAACTGTAAAATGACCCTCGTCAAAGTAAGCTCCCTATACAGTACTCTTCGGCGCGGCGCGCGCCGCTGCGTTAACGGCGGGCGCGGCATGTTTGTGCGGCAGCCATGGAATTGGTGGAGGTATCAGGGCTACCAACTAGGGACTTTTATATTTACTTCAATCTTTAATCGTAGTAGCCTAGGCCCTACTATTCGTAATATTACATACACAAGACTTGCAAACTGATGATAAGAAAAAACGGCACTCGGCCATGCACTCCCATTGCGGGATCGGGTGCGTGATTGTCGCCTGCAAATATTTAATAGACAGTAATCCCCCGTCATCTCGATGAAGACCAAGACTCAACACGCCGATCGCTATTAACTATGGACGACCCGATTACGTTAATGCAATTAAAATTAAGATAAGTTGTGTCTATCGATACATTAGTTTTTGGAAACATATTTCTACAAACTGCATGTATAAAAACAAGAAACATAAGCAGTTGACCTCTTCAATGTCACAGAAACCTGTTTTTCATCCAATAACCCGAAACCGGAAATTTATTAAATTTAGTTACCCGCGAAGCCAAGGTGTAAGTAATCGCGGTTACACAAACCGCGAGACTATATTTAGACTGGCGCCGTGTTCAAAGTAATCTGCTGTCTCGAGTAATGTGACAGTTCAGTGGAATAGCAGACGACACGGTCCAGAGGAATGGAACAATCGGTAGGTAGGAACAGCGGACCATTGGACCGGACCGTTCGCGGAACGACGGCACGCGGAGTCGGAATGTGTGACTCACTCATTCATAGGTTGTTTCTTGAGTGAGGTGACTCACCGTACAATCAGCGACCGCTTTTAAGGTTGGAACGATATTTGCTGATATGTATCAATTAATTCATAATTTCAATTTTCTGCGATATTTTCCAAGGTACAGCAAGCGGATTTATTTCGTATTGTAATTGTTATGTAGTAAATAGAAACGTTTAACTTTTTCATCAACCAATTTTCATCAAGTGGACAGTCTTTGACATATAATAAAAACAGGTTTCTATGAATAACCACCTCTCGAATGTTAGATTAAATGAAAAGTTCATAGGGTAAGGCTATTATGTGAAAAGAAACTACGTTATACAAATTCTGTTGATAAAGTTAGCTATATATTATAATAAATTCATATATAGCCTACAATGAAGCGTTGTTGTATGCATAACGTGTATGCGTTTCATGCCTAACGGTTATCAAGAAAATTAAAATACCCCCGCTGCAGCAAACCTGCAGACTAAGAGAATTTCCATTTGACTGGATGGATTTCTACTAAAATATTCCCTGAAAATTGTCAGATTTATTTCCTATTTAAATAACATTAGTTTTAATGAGTACCTAAGTTTGCTGCTATAGGGAAGGTATTGAGGTGTGTTTTTATTGAAATGTTGATAGCTTAGTACGACATAGAAAAATTGCCAAATTTGATTAAAATAAATCCATAAACAAGCAAACAACAACAGTTTATTTATTCGCAATAAGGATAATATGGGAATTTTAAATTAAGAGTTTTTTTTATTATCTCCGTAACCGTTAGGCATACAACAATGCAACAATTTCAATTTACTTGGGCGCCCGCAGGATTTGGAACAGGGGGGCGCAATATATAACAAACATCTGGGGGTCCGGGGCCTACCCCGGGAAAATTTCTGAAAATATAGTGTTTTAAAACATATTTTTACGGTATTTGGACATTTGGTGACACATAGAACCAACCAAAACAAAATAGTATATTGAGCATCAAGGAGAATAAGTAATCGTGTTTTGCCAACATTCAAAATTAATAAGCGATTTGAAGTTAAGTTATTATGTATAATTTATATAGTTAAAACTACAAGCCAAACGAGAATTAGGAAAAATTTAAATTTACAGTTGAACTAGAGCTCGCCCCGTGTTCGAAAACTCTACCAAATGTATGTATTGTGCAAACTTCTCTATTTTCACCCCACGCCGTAAATAAAACATTTAACATTTTACAAAAAAAACACCTTTTTACCCTCCCTGTTGCAGCAAACCTAAGTACTCGTTAAACTAATGTTATTTAAATAGGGAATAAATGTGATATTTTTAAGCAGACATTTTAGTGTCAATCCAATCAGGCAAATGGAAATTTGCTTAGTCTGCAGGTTTACTGCGGCGGGGGTATTTTGATTTTCTGATTATATTTTTTGTTAGTTTGTCACATGGCAACCCATAAGACCCATGTTAACTTTTTAAAATTTCAAATTTTTTTTGTGCTTATTTTTGAGACTATTTTAATTTATAAAGGAATTCTGCACATATACAGGCAAATATCTTTTTAACAGTATGCGTAGATTTTCCCCTGCAATGTACAGGAGCTGAGAAAAAGGATTTTAATAAACATGCTTGTCTATTAATATATAGAAATAGCTAATGGCCCCATGGTTAATCTCCATAAAAAAGTTGAATTTCCATTTTTGACCCAATTAACATGAATATTTTCAAAATACAAATAAAACCTGCACATATAGAAGCGATAACCTTTCTTTTGGTACAACCCACGTGTAATTCGGTCCAGTAGTATGGTAAGACTAGCTGTCATAAGTTTTCCAAACGTTTTTTAATATATAAGATCAAGACTAGATAACAACCAAGAATGTGTATGTTTTGTTTTCTGAATAGTGTTGTTAAAGTATAAGAATCGTACATCTGTGAGTCAACTACTTATTCGACTTAAACATCAATTTAAAACATTGAAATATAGAAATGACCATTATGAAACGTAAACGTACTTTTATAAAATTTCTTAAAACCCACTTTTGATTAAAGAAAGTGATTACAGAATATTTTTGGGTATTAAATTTATTTCTTATTTTTTAGCCGGGGGTGCAAGTGCACTCCCTTGCACCCCCCCCCCCCTGTGGGTGTCCAGTATGATATTAGTAAAGCAAGAGTTGGGGGCTTAAAACCAACGAGAAAGGTTTATTTTTCTACAAAAATAACACAATTCTTTGAACCTAAACAGCTTATCAAATTGACATCAAAGTCGTAACGGAATTCCAGGGACTGCAAACTGCGACATCGACATGTGAGTTTTTTTTAACAACGAGGCGCCAAGACTCCTAAGAAAAGACACTTGAACATGTGGTATATTTATAAACTGACCCTGCACTCTGTCGGCAGTGAATAGAACTACTTCGCGCCGCGCCGGCAAACTCGCCTGTGATAGGCTCGTCTCAACCAATCACAGCCGAGTTTCCTGTCCAGAATATATCAAGAAGTTTGCCAGTTTTGTAATCAGTTTTGTTGTTTACGCGCTGTGTAGTTCGCGGGTGCCCCTTGCGCTGTGTTTTGGTTTTGTTCAGCTCGTTTTGTGTTTTCCAGTCTACAAATGAGGGAATTACCACAGGCGGCACAGCGGGAGAAGATGCCCAGAGGAATATTCCCTAGAAAAAAGGTCGGTCGGTTAGGTTATGTTTCAATTGACGTAATATAGATAACAGTTTTACAACTATTTAACAGTTTGTGCGGCTCCTACCTTAAACCTTAGAGCATTAGATTGTTCATTCATAAACTACAAACGAGTTAGCAAAGAGATATGTGACCATTCGTATTTTAGCCAGTTATTCCATAATAATAATAATAATAATAATAGGCCTACATAATAATACCAGTCGTATATTTACATGATTAATATAAGGGTAGCCCAGTTAAGAAACTGTACCCTGAAGATTTATTATGTATCAATAAGCTGTGTGGTAGAATCAAAAATAATTTCTTTGTATGTAATGTAAACATGATCATCTATAAGAATACAAAAGTTAACTAAGGTCAAAAGTAAACAACAGAATAAATTACATCAAACCTAGTCAATGATCAAACGCAATGCAAAAATTATAACTTATATTACAATTTTAAATGTGCTAAAATCACCATTAATGTGCCCTTAGCAAGCGGGTTTGTCGAAAAACTAATAAATGTTTTTGGGGAAGTTTCACATCCGTGAACCTTGTTAGCTTTATATAGATTATTTAGGAAAACATGCAAATCTTATTTTTTGGGTTCAACCAAGGCCGCACTAGATATACGTTCAACAATGGGAAACTTCTCTAAAATCCCGTTCCCGTAGTCCGTTCACACTGTTTCGCGAACTCCTTCAAATAATTAATGTATGTTTACATGTTTGTTCAAAATTTCATAAAAAATTGTGGTTTTTACTCGTGTTGTCGTATCCATATAGCCAGTGTACCTATATATGAATTTGAGCAAATGGTGTTTTTGGCCTCTAGGGACATCAAAACGAATAAGTAAATCGGCCACTGGTGTAGGTCTTCCCATGAAACCTACAGTAAAAGTTTTTCTATTTATGGGAAATTCGCCAAACCTTTCATAATTTTCGTCGCCTCGAGTAAACAGGCCCATATCACAGACAGGTTCATATCAGGTAGGCCCCTCTATAATGTGAAATGCACTCCTGCGTGGAATTTAAATGCTGTAAAATGCTTGTTTACGGACCTTTTACTGGCTGGCAGTTATTCTACAATTTCAATACAAGCAGACTCAAGTGTTTGAAAAGAGGTATAAACAAACATAAGATTCTAGGAGTTTCCCCAGCAACAAAAACTGTTTGTTTTTGGTAGTTATCTTGCATATTTGAAGGTAACAATATAATTTAGCTTCCTGTTTACCTCCTTTGTACGGACAAGACGTCAAGACATGATGTATTAAGCAGCCCTCAAAAACCTTTTTTATTTTAATAAAGAGGAAGGAGGTAACTCATATAAATTATTATTCAGTTCTTCGCGGTGGAACCATAAGAGTAGGGCCTAGGTCCTGAATTACAAGAACCTGTACATTCCGACAATTATTCCAACCGACCACTTTTGTCTTTTGATATTGAATAGGCCTCTAAATTATATACAATTGAATAATCATTATTGGGTGCTAACGGTTGGTATAAAAGACAAAGAAGACGCCAATTCCCTGTCTGTGACTGTATGATTTTGCCAACTCCCTCTTTAATGCCGTGATAGACTCCTACAATATATAAAAAAACAATACGCTTTGAAACATGCAATATGCAACATGCAATGTTTATTTGAAATTATGCAATAGTTTATTCAACTAAACCACGACCAAATACTTGGAGAAAAAAGTTATGGTATAAAATTAACCATCGTAAAGCATTTAGACTAAAGGAGACAAAACAGTGGAAAGACATATTTTAATTTGCTCTTTAACTAACTTGATCCAAAATGAAAACAAATAGGATAGGTACGCAAGGTATCGTCTTAAAGTGGAGCAAATAGAAACAGCAATACTGTACCTTCCGACAGTGAAATTTGGTTTTTAATCACTACAAGTCTTAGAGACATTTGGCAATCTGAAATTTCCACACGTAAACAAATCTCAGACAGAATAATATCGTACCATTCATGGTTTTTTATAACATTTTATTTCTTATCCACTCGTCTTGGCAATCCAGGGAAGTACGGTAAGCATAGCACTGAACACTGTTTAGGATAGACAGTAGTGTGTTTAGCGTTATCACTGTTATCTACAGTGGGTGGCCTTGGGCCAGGTCACGTGTTCAACACCAAGGTGTGCCTCCACCTCCACTGTCGCTCACTTACCACTACCACCACAGAATACAATGGTACGGGTACGACACAAACTGTTTGTATTTTAGCGTAGCGTAGCTACAGATATACATTGTATATCAAATTGTATACAGATATACATGTATATCTGTAGCCCTGGGTACTACCACACCACACCACTCACTGTGTACCATAACTGTTCAGACCGTTACGGTTACCCAGTTATGAATACTGTAGTAAAGCATACAATCCGTTACCAGTACTCCAACCGGGATACTTTAGAGTAATTTAAATTTAATTACATTAGTGATTGACACCCCTCCCTTCAATCATTGTATCATTGTATTTTACGCTGACGTGTATGTAGGAGTCCTGAGGACTATTGAAGCTAGGTAGGCCACCTACCTTACCCCGGTAGTATGAGGGTGGGACGAGATTTGTTGCACGTTTACGACACGAGTACAACGATACAAATTTACTATCCATTATATCTTATTCATTATATTACAGTTTAAACTCGCAATATACTATCTTTACCGTCAATATTAATCGAGACTACATAATCCATACAATCACCCAATTATACTTTTCATCCTCCTTCTATCAAATCTCTTTGAGATATTGCCAAATACCAAGAACGATGCTCGAACGGTTTTCGCACCTTGGTAATAAAAACTGAAAACCCCATGTGTCACTGAATTTCCCAGAAACTGAGAGCCAGAGTCGAGTGCCAACTTTGCCAATCTGACAGGACGAAAATAGAGTTGGCTGTTGGTAGTAGGGCTAGGCGACACCGAGGTTTGGAGTACATACATTATTGGAGTGGGGGGGGGGGGGCAGATAGCCGGTGAAATTGTCAAATAAAAATAACAACCAAGGTCTCAGGACAAGGTGTAAAAAAATACACCAGCCGCAGCAAACCTGCTGACTAAGCTAAGAAAATTTTGTGTTTTAAGGGTAAAAAAATGAGTATAAAACCAATTTTTACCCCATATAACCCCTGTAAAATCCCGTTATGATGGTCCGACCATGCTGGTTCGTAAACTCATTCAAGTTTATCCCGCCTACCCCTTTAAACCAAATTTCATCAAAATTACCCAAGTTATCGCTCAATCCTGTATCATTTTTTTTTTTATAGGTCTTTCCGTGCCCTTTCGTATAGTGTGAAAGGAGCGTTAAGTGTTCCTGTCAACGGTAGCGAACTGGCTCAACCCAGGTACTGTAGTTTGTTGGTGGGCCCCGGCACCACCCTACGGTATATACGGAACAGAGCACCATACTCTAAGCTCTAAGTAAACACTAGAGGTATAAATATTTCGAAAATTTCCCTCGTTTCCTGCAGAACCCGAGTGGTGGTCGAGGTGTTTTACAACCCTGCGACACTGACCCTCATAACCCGTTCTAAATTATGGTGGTGGTTAGATTACGTGTTCGGCGGCTTAGGTATCTTTTTGGACGGTCATAAAACTCGTGGTGGTTAAATATTTGACATACAAAGTGGCTTCGAAAATGCCCTCCAACGAACTAATCTAAATTTGAGGTTATGTTTACCTGTCATCTAAACAGATGGAAACGTAGCTCAAGTAGGGAATAAACTGCTTGCACAGGTCGGTCCGATGTAAGTGATTATAAGTACTGTACTGTATAACCTAAATGTAGCCCGGTCCTATCCCCATTTTCTTCCGCCGATGGGTTTACAGTTTTATAGCTGATGTACATATACCACTGTCCGTTTATCTTTTTCCCAGTCTATGAGACGTAGCCAGAGCTATGGAAAGAATCTCAACAGAATCCATAAAATAACATAAAATAAAATAAACAGAATAGTGATAAAGAACCGTCTTGGACAAATGAACACCTGTTTTTTTTTTGTCTTTTTTTGTCAGCTGAAATATTTGACTTCTGCAGATGAGCAAGTAGGCAAAATAACACAACTTATTTCGGGTCTTTGTAAATGCCCTTGATTTCGAATTCAGTTGGTTTTCTTTTTAATTTGTATTTGCCTTTCTATGAGCATTAATTAGTGGGATGAGGAACAGTTGTTAGTGTTCTAGGCAGATGTGTAACCTGGGTCGTTCACCTCACCTCGACGTCGCCGCACCCACACCACGTCTGCCCTGTCTTGGTCCTGTAGTCTGTGCATGCTAACTTGGCACTACTTGTGAGTTGCAGTCTAGGTAGCAGAGTTGTTGTAGAGAGCTCGCATTCAAATCTGAAGGTAGCTGGCTCGATTCTGGGCCAAGATGCCATTTGTTTTGGGGGTAATCATTAATCAATTATTGATGTTATTCATGTTATTAATAATTGAAGTTAACGAAAGATTAGGCTACCGTTGGATAACAACCAGAGCTTGGACAGTTTTATAAAAAAAACTCATGTAAAATACCAATGGTATAAAATGCACGAAAAATATGCTATAGAGTCCATCCATGGTTCACGCAATAGATTGGTCATTCTGTTCTACCCCTTTACTACAGCATCCATACTATAGGTTTCAAAGCAAATCAAAATTTGTTATGTCATATTTTTTGTATCCTAGGCCTAAACGTTGTTAAGGAATATCTTTCAGAAATCGGTATACGTTTTCTCTTCTTACTGATATTTTGTGTTACAGGTAGGAGGTTTGACCCCAGCCACCGCCAACCCATGGATTTTTCCCAGAGAGGTAAACTCAACTACATATTTAAGTGGAAAATATTTCTAAAAAATTGATCAAAATCCAAGCGCTTTTGGTAAAATATAAAAATATGAAATTAATCCGGCTCGAAGGACCAAAGCTTTTGAAGAAGTTTTTAATTATCTTGACTTCCAAAAGTAAGTACGCGCACTACTAAACGTGAAGTTGTTGGTGGCAGAG